TTATTTAATTAGTAGATATTATTAAATCTATATTGCATGTAATTCAAATACATATAAATGTACTGAGGACGGTCTTTTTCACGGGAAAAAATCTGATGAATGCATAAGTAAGCAGACAGTGAGTGCAAGTCGTTGAAAAGAGAAAGCATACATGAGAAAGAACGTAGATGAACAGTAGAGGGGAGGACGGAAAATCAGAAGTCTGTCTGGTAACGGGAAGGTGGTGGAGGGCAGGGTCATGTGGCAAGTGGTTATTTTCTTGTAGTGGCTGCTACAGGCATGAGAGTTGTCCGCTAATTAGCGGAATTCCGCTTTTTTAATTCTAAAATCTGCCGATTTTGAAATGGATTCCGCTTTTCGGACCCGCGATAATATTGTGTCCATTTCTATGTACCGTGTTGTCGAAGATTACGAGCGTTCTGATTGGCTGTTGTAGCAGATACATACTGTACAGATTTGTACCAGAACCCGTAATATCTTCAGCTAATTTCTCTGTTACTCACTCAGGGATGTTCCCACGCCAGGCGGTGCCGCCCGTTACTTTTGATTTCCAACCGGCACTCAAAACAAATTGCCGTTTTCCGCCCGTAACAAAATTACATCAAATAGGACATCATCATTTACGAATGGTCCATTGAGTGAATTATTGTAGAAAGCATTCAACAACAAATTCTGATTACCCGGCACTCAGCATTTTCTGGGAACATCCCTGCTCACTCTCATGCCTGCTGCTTTGAGTACATCTAATGTAACTATAGGTATGGGAAACTGTTCTGCTAGATGTGATTGTAGACAGTGTACATGTTGATAGTAGTAATCAGAAAGGTTGAGTTATCGCGTGTGGCATTTCACTACACGGGGTTTCTAACTTTGCAAAACAGTATGAGTAAACCAGGTGCCAACTTTTCTTAGGTGTCACACATGCCAAGGAGAAGGGATGATACTGTGTGTGGTGTGTCAGGGCTACAAGCAAGTGCGCAACTACATCCGCCTGAAGATAGATTAGTAAGTACTGTGTGTGCGTGTGCGTGTGCGTGCACACGTGTGTGTGTGTGTTTGTTATAGCTTTATAACGGGACTGTGTATGTGCGTGTGTGTGTGCGTGCGTTCGTGCGTGTGTGTGCGTTCGTGCGTGTGTGTGTGTGCGTGCGTGTGTGTGTGTGTGCGTGCGTGCGTGTGTGTGTGTGAGTGTGCGTGCGTGTTATAGAGTGGCTTGTGCATGAGTGACGAGTGAATTGATTCTAAAATCGAGAATTTGTGGTCCGCTGTTCAACACAGTTCAATTTCTTTACAGCACTAACCATGTCAGCGAGTATGTCATAGAAAGAACTGAAATGCCCGACCACCTTATCAAAAATGTTGAGGGTCAGGTGATTCTCCAGCAGCAGTTTGCAGCGGTGAGTAATACAATCATCCCTGTCAGTAGGTTGCAGTTGTACGGATTTGTTTTCATCGAGGTTTGTGGATTATTTGTAAACATGCATGGTTACAGTCAGAAAAGTAGGAGCAAGCTGCAATTGTTTCATTCTTAAAGACTTTAAGTACGAAGTTGTGGACCTAAGCAACTGTCTCAGTAAATTGAGTAAGTTAATAAATAGTATTAAATTTTTGCTTTAACTATAGGTGTCACCACTGATTGGCTTCCTTGATGGAGAAATGGTTGAAGCCTCTATAAAAATGATAAATGATGACAAAGCATCTCATGCAAATGAGTATATTTTGCAGCAGGTAGGTAATCATTAGGCTTGATGTTATACCTGTGTTATTTTACGATTATACATGTTATAATAATGTGTATGAGATAAAAGTTCGAAAAAGAGTGATTGTTTATGGTGAGTATTAACATCAGGTCTCATGTGCTAGACACTGCATTTTTCTTGAATGTTGATTAAGAAAGCATCTTGTTCTTATTTCCATAATCACAGAATATACTAACAATAGATATTCTACCACGTTGTTGTTGAGCATATTTGTCTTGTTTTTTAGCTGTGTTGCTAATTAGTTTCAGGGAGAATCGCCTAATTACGTTTGAAATTAGAATACACATACTGCACAATAAAATTTGCAGTGTTATATTTTGAACATAAATGTGCAAAATGTCCTAATGTGGAACTTTTTTTTATCATAGTTATATGTTGATGTTCTATAAAGTTTCGCTCATGATAACCACATTTTGCTTGCTCTATCAAGCGATAGCTGTGAAAATTTAGTAGCGTCAATAATTCTGTTTCAGCGCCAGACTTTACGCGCCGTTCCTGTCTCGGAGGTGCACTGCATGTGGAAGGGCAGTGCTGGTCAGTTCTGGGTGTATGGCAACGAACGTAAGATCCATGCTCCTGATTACCCAGACAAGTGTTGCTGCGGTTGCTCTGTCCTGTAGTTACAACAATATGCCTTTCTTCGTGTTCTTCGCTTATTATATATACGGAAATATTCTTTCTCATTAGAAATGTGCTGTTATTTGCAAACTATTCAAAATTTATAAGTACGGTTTTTGTTATATTTGTGGTTATGGCGCCTGTCACCACATTGAAAGGCTGCATAAGCACGGATTCACGTAGTTGACACGAGAAATCTTAAACACAGGTTTTTGAGTAATTTTGCATTGATACTGAACAGTATAATATGGTACATATTGGAAATAATGAGTTTCCATTTGTGGAACTTTTTGCAGATATATTTTCATTTTTTGGTTTTTATCATTATTATCATTGGTCATTATTGCAATCAGCTTATTACGTGCCTTGTAGTTTTGTATAGTAAGCCTACTATATAAGGGGTTGTCCTCCTTTCTTGATTGCCAGCTAGTAAACATCAGGAAATAACAGTCGCATTATACCTTGTAGTGCTGAAAGTTAGATTCAGTGAGTTATGAACCATTTATCAAACTATATGTTCTAGTGGAGTAGAGGGTGTCAATTGCATAACTGTAGGGACGTAGTTTGTATGTTATAATTTAACGTATAAATAATCAAGAAGACGTATAGAATTTGTGTTCACTAAAGAAATATATTGTTTACAAAAGCTGTCAGCGTCCCGTATCCGTCTCGTCTCGTCCACCCGTCCGTTCAACCGTCAGTTTCAATCCCCCTGTTCAAATCCTCTCCCGTCCCTTATATATCACTCTCTTATCCAATCACTGTCCAGCTCTACTCTACCCTAGCCAATCACACACACTAACACTCTGCTATTCAAATGAGAGCGCGCGAAACCAACATCTGACCCGCAGATGTGTAACGCATCCGCTAGTCCCTATACCTAGCTATTTCTCATCTGTATGCTAAACACCCAACCCTTCTCCTAAGTACAACTAAATCTATCTACTATTACTAATTCAATGAACATGTGTAAAACAGCTGTTACATTTACCTCCCGCTTCTATTTTCAACTTAATATTAAAGTTACGAGAGGGTCTGGGCTCTCGTAATGTTATGAGGATATTTTCGAGGATTTTTCGTTCTCGTAACCTTACGATGTTTCTGTCAACGGTTTACGAGTGGAAGTTAATGGTAAGACTAATGTTGCGACTAATTTTGTTTCTGACAACGGCCCCCAGGCTCTCCGACTGTTACACGGCGGAGGCCTCTTGCCACGTAGTGTTATTAGCGAGATGCGAACTTGTGGCTATAGAGCTACCTGGGGCACATCTAGACCCTCTTTGGCGCTCAGCACTAGTATATAGGGTCTTTGCCTCTTTGTTGTATCTGCGAAGGGGCGTATGTGGCATTGCATTGAACAAACAAATTTATCAACATTTTGAATACATTGGGCTCTCGAATTTTTTTATAAATATATATAACATAGCTAACAATTTATTGTTCGCCCTACCGTCTAGTCTACGCGCCTTGGGCTGCAGCACAGGTCGTACCTCTAATACTATAGTCTATAGCTCTATATATTATAGGCTGTGGCAACAAGGGCACAGTATAGTACGCAACACTATGGCAGGACGCAGCTTGCAAGTATAAATAGGGCCTAGTTATCTCGAGACCTTGGCCGGCGCGCTATCAGGCTCAAGGATAGAGCATGTCCAGTAATAAACATCATCCTATCCAATCACCGTCCGGTCCTGGGCTACATCATCTCTCTATCCTTGAACCCGCTATTATATCGCACGGTGCGGTGTGAAACAGCTAGAACTTAGAACAGAAGTTAGAGGTGGCTATGTGATAAAAGTACAAGTAACCCCGAAGATAACTTCCAAGCTGTATACCGCCGTAATAACGTAAAAGCTACTGTACTTACTCACGCTTCCCGCGACTTGTCCTAGGTGAGGTTAGTGGAAGAACAGCAGCTGTCTGACTGACTGTTTTGGACAAACTGATTCGAAACGTGGCCGGCGCGCAACAACATGCGAAGTTCTAGACTGGTACCCGGTCCCACCTCTCGGCTTAGTACCGTCCCACCTCTCGGCTCACCCATCGAGTAATCGAGGTGGGAGCGAGTACCAGTCTAGCAAAGTTCGCGAACAGCATTGTGGGATGATAAGAAACACGTTTAGCGTAGATTGGTTCCCTGTCTCTGCTCTAAATGTACTATAGCGTGTATATTATAATATATTAACAAATTATAAAGAGACAGTGAGCCCATCTACGGGCAGCGCCTCTGCTGTACGCATGTGAGTAGTGACATTGATACACACACGCGCCCGCACACACACACAGTGACACACACATGCACGCGCGCACACGCGCACGCGCAAATACGCGCACGCACACACACGTACTCACGCACACATACTGATTATGGAAATAAAGACAAGATGCTTTGCTTAATCAAATTCAAGAGAAAATGCAGTGTCTAGCCACATGAAGGCCATGATGTTAATACTCCAGCATAAACACATCACTCCTTTTTCGAAGCTTTTGATCTCATATAACATTATTGATAATCGTCAAATAACACAGGGTGTAAACATCAGCCTAATGATTACCTACCTGCTGGCAAAATATACTCATTTGCATTGAGATGCTTGTGATCACTTATAATTTTTAGAAACAGTGGCTCTCAACCCATTTCTCGCATCAGGGAAAGCAATGCAGTGGTGACACGGCTATAGTTAAGCATAAAATTAATAGCTATTATTACTTACTGCAATTTACTGAGAAAGTTAATTTGCTTAGGTCACCATATCGTAAGCTCCTCGACAGTCATATATAGATGAACAACTTGCCAGCTTGCTCCTACTTTTCCTGACTGTAACGCATCGCATTGTTACATATAATCCATCAAACCTCGATGAAAACACATCCGTAGCACCTGCCAACCTACCGACGGTATGATTAGTATTTACTCACACGGGCTCCACAACTGCCTGCTGGAGATCACCTGACCCCTCAACATTTTTGATAAGGTGGTGGGCATTTTAGGTTCTTTCTATAGACATGCTCGCTGACATGCGTTAGTGCTTAAAGAATTGAACTTTCTCAGACGTGTTGAAGCGGGCAGACGCAGCAACACACTCTCACTCCGATTTAGAATCAATTCACTCGTCACTCAGGTACGAGCCACTCATAAACACGCACTGCACCGCACAACCTCACACACAACACACACACGCACGCACGCATGCACACTCACCGCCACCCCACACACCCGCCACATTGCAAGACAACACACACTCACACACACACGCGGAGGCCACATAGCACGCACACTACGCACGCACGCAACACCACACACAGCACACGACAACGGTCACAGCCGCGGGGCGGGGTACGCGCAACTCACAAACACACGCACAACCACACGCACACACCACACACACACACACACACCGACACACCACAGTCAAACACGCGCGCGCGCGCGGGCGGCGCGCACAGACCACACACACAGCACACACAGAGCACACACACACACACACACACACACACACACACACACACACACACACACACAGCACACACAACAAGCACACATCACACACACACACACACAGACAACACACGACACACACACACCACACACACGCACACCACACACACACACACACACAGCACCACACATCACACACAGCGCAGCGTTCGGGCGCAGGGTCACACACACACATCATGGCACGCACATCACACAGCCAACGGCTATAAAGCTATAACACACACACTCACACGCACGCAACTGCACGCAAATAAATCACACACACACGCAACGCAGCACACGCACACATACAGCACAGCGCACACACGCACACACACAGCCACGCTATAAAGCTATAACACACACTCACACGCACGCACGCACGCACACATACACACACGCACACACTGCACGCAAACGCAACACTCACAGCCCGCTATAAAGCTATAACCAGACTCACACGCAGTACGCACGCACGGCTACACACATACCGGCAGTCATAGCTAATAAAGCTATAACACACACACTCACGACGCACGGCACGCACGCACGCAACGCACACATACACAGTCCCGGCTATAAAGCTTATAATACCAACAAACACACGCACCACGACACACACCTGTGGCGCACGCACAGCGCACACAAAGGCAACACAGTACTTACTAATCTATCTTCAGGCGATGTAAGTCTGCGCACTTGCTTGTAGCCCTGACAGCACCACACACAGTATGCATCCCTTGTCTTGAATGTGTGATCACGGCTAAAGAAAAGTTGCACGCTGGTTTACTCATACTGTTTTCAAGTTAGAAAACCAGGCAGTGAAAAGCCACACGTGATAACTCAACCTTTCTGATTACTACTAGGCCCAGGCCGCCGCGGCACGGGTTCTGGTACAAATCTGTACAGTATGTATCTGCTACAACAGCCAATCAGAACTCGTGCTCGTAATCTTCTACACCACGGTACATAGAAATGGAACACAATAGTTATCAGCGGGTCCGAAAAGCGAAATCCAGTTTCAAAATCGGCAGATCTTAGAATTAAAAAGCGGCAATTCGCGCTAATTAGCGGACAACTCTCTGCCTGAGCCAGCCTATTAACAAGAAAATAACCACTTGCGCACATACCCTGCCCTCACCACCTCCCGTTACCGAACAGACTTTCTGATTTTTCCGGTCCTCCCGCTCTACTGTTCATCTACGTTCTTTCTCATGTATGCTTTCTCTTTTGCAGCGACTTGCACTCACTGTCTGTACTTATGCATTCATCAGAATTTTTTCGCCGTGAAAAAGACCGTCCTCAGTAACATTTATATGTATTTGAATTACATGCAATATAGATTTAATAATATTTACTAATTAAATAAATTAAAAATTTAATTTAAATAAACAAGTGCCACAGTGCGACAGGGCTCAATGCCTGGTGTCTGGTGTTCTGCTGATGAATATCATTGTGTGGCATAGCAAGACGTCCTATACATAAGTCTTCTTTATCTTGTTTGACATTTTCGTAGCCAATTGGAACAAATATATCAGCTAGCACTCGCACGCCACTCTAATCTGCTATGGCATTGCAGACACATGTGCATTGGCAAAGGTTGGCAGGCAACAATGTATGATTAGATAGCGTGGGCAGGCCATCGGGCTGCCCCAAGTGTTTTTGCATACCACAGCGAGCATTCACTGATTCAGCCCTTCAGGGTGGCTATAGACAGACTGCTTTAGAAAATAATATGATTTTAAGGAGCGTAAACCTTGTCAACAAACATTTGCCTTTGCAATGAAAACTGTGCAACTGTAGGCCTCACATTCACAGAGG